TTTGCATTCTGCACATAGATTCACACATACTTACACACTTTGACTTTTATAAAGTATTGGGCTTTCACATCACAACAGATTGAATATGATTGTTTATTAGAAGAATACAAGAATAAGGGAAAAGTAAGTTGAATTTCAAATACAGTTGTGAATCAAAAACAGGAGCAGCAGTAGTCGGCGGTTGCGTTCTGTTTCGCGCTTCGAACGATGGTGTCGTCTCTCGTTTCCTTCCTCTCCTTCCTCGAATTGCCCGCGCCGTATCAGCTCGGTCAGTTTCTTCAATAACTGCGCTCTCTAAACAACAGTATTCTGTTCTTCTTTGCACACTGATCACTATCATCACATTAACTTTGACCTTTTTCAAATACTCAAATCTGTGTTGTAATATTTAGCATAGATATGCTCGTATTTGCGCTGCTAATCTATGGCATTTGCATAACAGAATCACAGAGCCTATTGGTAACACCAAAGACTATCTCAGCCATTCATCTATCTGAGCGTCAGTTTTCCATTTCAATGTCTTTGCTTTCCTGTCTATATATTTTCGAATTTAGATCTGAATCATACTCCCACTTATGATGCTGCGCTGATCGGAGTCGGTCAGCAAGGACACCCAGTTGGAGTTGCAGTGGGTGGAATGCTAGAAAGAGACGGAAATCTGCCAAAGACGAAAGAAAGAGAGAAATCAATAGAACTTGGAGAGGCAGAAAAGCCACGAACTGAAATAAAAGAAAGAAGAAAGCCCTTGGGAGAAACAAAAACGAAAGAAGATTCAAAAACAAAAGGAGAAGTGAAAGAAGAAGAAAAGCTACGAATAGAAGCAAAAAAAGGGGAAAATACAGTAGGAAAAACAAAAGAAGAAGGAAAGGCAACAGAAGAATCGGGAAAAAAAGATAAACAACGAACAGAGATTGATAAAAAAGAGAAACCGCTGGGAGAAGTTGAAAAAGAGGCGAAGCCAACAGGAGAAACAAAGGTAGAAGAAAAGTCACGAACAGAGATGAGAGAAGAAGGAGAGGCACTTGAGAAATCAAAAGAAGAAGGGAAATCACCAGGAGAAAGGAAAGAAGAAGGAACGCTAGGAAAAGTGAATAAAGAAGGAAAGCTACAAAGAGCGAAGAAAGAAAAGGGAAAAATAACAGGAAAACTAAAAGTAGAAGAAAAATCACAAACAAGAGTGCAAGAAGAAGGAAAGGAAAGAGAAATGGATAAAAAAGGAACAACACAAGGAGAAGCGAATAACGAAGGAAAGTTACCAAGAGAGACGAAAGAAGAAGGAAAGAAACCAGGAGAACACAAAAGAGAAGAGAAACCACAAACAGTGAAACGAGGAAATAAAGTAGTAGAAACAAAAGAAGATGGAAAGCCTTTGAGAGAAACAAAAGAAAGACGAAAGTCACTGCGAGAAATGAAAAAAGAAGGAAAGCAAGGAGAAGAAGGAGGAGGAGTTGAGCCACCGGAAGGAGTAACGACACCAGGAGGAGGAGGAGGAGTAGGAAGAGGAGTAGAGCCGCTGGGGAAAACGTCACCAGGAGGGGGAGGAGGAGGTGGTGGTGGAGGAAGAGTAGATACGCCGGGGATAACGTCACGAGTAGGAGGAGGAGGTGGTGGAGGAGGAGGAGTAGAACAGCCGGAAATAACGTCACCAGGAGAAGGAGGAGTACAGCCGCCGGGGATAACGTCACCAGGAGGGGCATTAGGAGGAGGGAGAGGAGTAGAGCAGCCGGGGATAACATCACCACCAGAAGGAGGAGGAGGAGGAGGAGTACAGCCGCCTCAGATA